TCCCCCCAGCAGCGGCTCCTCATCTGCAGTCGATGATGGACTTTTTTCACCCGCCAGTGAGGAAATACTAACCAGCCGCAGATCAGCAGCATCAGGGGACCCGGGCAGGACCCAAACAACAGGCTTAGCTATTGGACAGCACCACTGCCAACCGAGGTAGACAATCCCCTTGATACTGGGCAACGAACTTTGACCTTTGGCCCCAACTGAGCTGGAATTTGCCCTTGGAATGGCTGTCATGCACGGCAGTAGCGTGGCATCGGGAGCGCGAGTGTGTTTATGAGCGGCAGGAGGTTTTTGCAACTCCGCGGAGGCACGCTGTCCACCAAAGTGTGGAGGAGACTCACGTTTGTGAAAATGAATCAGGCGGTGGATTAGTCTGGATTTCAAACCAACAGTCCTGACACAACTGACTAAATCCACCATGAATTCATGCCCCGCTGCCATGTGCCACTTTCCAGGTCTCTCACATTGCTGGTTATTGTTCCATTTTTTGTGTCAATAGGGTGCTGGCAGATTACGGCGACTCCCGATTGCTCTGCCCAGGCCCGTAATCTGCCATGGGCCCCCGTACCTCGCCTCCCCGTTCCAATGGCTGATGCCAACGTCCAAGAGTCTCTCATGGGTCCCCTTTACGTCCTCCCATAAGTAGCGTATTCGCTTGTCTCCTTAGCCACCCTCTGCCATGTGCCAACTGTTCAGGGCCGCCTCACACTGGCGGGGTGGGTTTCCATTTTTGTCATAGGGTGCTGGCAGATTAACGGGCCTCCCATAGCTACTGCCAGCGGCCCCTAATCTGCATGTGCCCCTCTACCGCCTCCTCATGCTGCTGCCAGGTCCAGAGTCTCTCATGTTGGTCCCTGGTACGGCCCCCATTGCTGCTGTCTCTCATCGCCACCACCACACTCTGACATGTGCCACTTTCAGGTCTCCTCACACAGCTGCTGGTCGTGTTCATTTTTTGTCATAGGGTGCTGGCAGATTACGGGCCTCCCATAGCTACTGCCAGGCCCCTAATCTGCCATGGGCCACCTATACCATCCGCCTCCTCATGCTGCTGCCAGGTCCAGAGTCTCTCATGGGTCCCTGTACTGGTCATGGGTCCCTTTACGGCCTCCCATTGCTGCTGTCTCCATCGCCACACTCTGCCATGTGCCACTTTCAGGTCTCCTCACACACTGCTGGTGTGTTCAATTTTTTGTCATAGAGTGCTGGCAGATTACGGGCCTCCTATAGCTGCTTGCAGGCCCCTAATCTGCCATGGGCCCCTATACCGCCTCCTCATGCTGCTGCCAGGTCCACAGTCTCTCATGGGTCCCTGTACGGCCTCCCATTGCTGCTGTCTCCATCGCCACACTCTGCCATGTGCCACTTTCAGGTCTCCTCACACACTGCTGGTGTGTTGAATTTTTTGACATAGGGTGCTGGCAGATTACGGGCCTCCCATAGCTGCTGCCAGGCCCCTAATCTGCCATGGGCCCCTATATACCGCCTCCTCATGCTGCTGCCAGGTCCAGAGTCTCTCATGGGTCCCTGTACGGCCTCCCATTGCTGCTGTCTCCATCGCCACACTCTGCCATGTGCCACTTTCAGGTCTCCTCACACTCCTGCTGGTTTCCATTTTGTCATAGGTTGCTGGCAGATTACAGGCCTCCCATAGGTGCTGCCAGGCCCCAAATCTGCCATGGGCCCCCGTACTGCCTCGTCACGCTGCTGCTGGGTCCACAGTGTGACATGGGTCCCTGTACCGCCTCCCATTGCTCCCACTCTGCCATGTGCCACTTTGAGGTCTCCTCACACTCCTGCTGGTTTCCATTTTGTCATAGGTTGCTGTATGGCCTCCCATTGCTGCTGCCTCCACCGCCACACTGTGGCTCTAAACACTGGTTTTGGCCCCGTGACTGGCCAAATGAGTGAAGTGTGCGGTGATTCTAAGATCGACGGCACTCATCTGCATGTCATACTGACTGACAGTATTATTTCTCTTCCCCAGCAGACTCCAAGGGCATTTAAATTAAAGGTTCAGTGTTCTGCACTAATATTAAGTCTCTCTGAAGCCTAGAAACACCCTTTTTTAAGTTAAATTCACAGCGAATATATTCGACTCGAATCGAATATTTTCCACGAATTCGCCGAATCAGTCGAATCGAATTTTTGAATACTTCGCTCATCTCTAATTGTCATCTAATTTATTTTGTTTTTCAGCACCGATACTCTCATTTTTGTTCAGCGCTCATGTTCTCATTTTTATGTAATTATTTTGATACTCTCATTAAAATCAACTGTTTGGATTTAAGTATGACCCAATGGAGGGGACATTGTATTGATGTCGGATTGAAATGAAAATATTCTTATGTTCCTTCTAGCCCTGTTGAAGGGGCACTTAGACCCCCAAAATGTGTTGGCTACTTCTTGAATTATACTCCTGACCTTTAAAGGAAAGTTGTATTTGGACCTCTTAGAAGTGGTGTGGCACTTCAATATCAACACTTCTTACATGCCATGTTTTAAGGTTTGGCAACCTTCCCTGTATGCGAGTTACATAGCAAAACACATCTATATGCTAATTAAGTAATTGAGAAAAAAAAAGTTATTGCAAGTCTTGTGAAAATACACGTCATTACCTATGACAGTCACAGGGCCACACACCAGAGTCCCAAAGCCACATAGCAAGTTCACGTTTTGCAGCTTTGCCCACAAATCAGAGTTTTACAGACAAATTGCTCAGCTGTACTTTATGTCAGCATTTCCCATTAATCTGTGCTTTATAGCCCGGAACCGACATTTACACAATCTCACGCTTATTTCACCTGTGGGCAGATTTGATTTCTTGTGTCCTAATTGTGATAATATCTGCAAAAAGATACAGAGTGATAGAGCCATAAAAAGGACAAAGGGTGACAGAAAACAATGTAGTGAATTAGCTTCTACAGAGATTTTTCTTTACAGTAGCAATTACATGCGGTATGTGATATAAAAAATAGAGCATTTTCACATAAGGCTAAGTGTAAACATTCACATAAGACCAAATTATAGCCTTCTATAAAGCATATGTAAAAGCATTTTTTCTAGTTTTTATGGAATTGGCAAGGGTTCGATCAGAGTTTCAAAATGGCTTTCTGCTGAACCTTAGGTTCCAGAAATAGTTCTGTGTATGCTGCAGCAAATGTATATCTGCCCAATGATGGGTTTGCTTTCCCCCTGTAGCTATCTTGTATTTACTACTGCAGGTGCCCTCAAGATCTATCCTCCACCTGATGTTAAACCCATGGGGTGCGGCTTGTCAACATGGAGGATGGCACAGCACTTAGATAGATGTGAGCCAGGAGCTGGCTGAAGGGAGGTGGTAAAAAGAGGGGCTGATGCCCTAGATTGTCATACTTGTTCCACACCACATTGATCTGACTTGATGCTCTGTGTGCATAGTTGCTTGCACAAATTACTTACTACTGGATCCCTATCAATATATCTAATGCCTTTAGGAAGAGATGGAATTATTGTAAGCACCAATGTCTAAGCTGAGCACTAATGTTAAAGTTAAAGTTTTGCCCTGAGCACCAATGCAAAGTTAAAGTTTTGCACTGAATATCAATGCAAACTTATAATTTCGCAATGAGCCCCAATGCAGAGTGAGTTTTGCAATGAGCACCAATGAAATGTTTAGTGTTGCCACTGAGTACCAGTTCAAAGTTAGTGTTAGCACTATGCACCAATGTAAATTATAGGGTGGGTGGGTTAGTAAAGGCCCACTTTCAGTGAAATCTCATCACTGGGAGTAAGAATAGGGGTTTTAAACCATTTCCTAATCTAACAAAAAAGAAAGAAAAATAAAGTTTTGGCTATTCATACTTGACTGCCACCTAAAGGTACTGATTCCCCCATCCTCTGGAACTCACTACCCCAATCCATCAGACTGTCACCTACCCTCCTCACCTTTAGATGTACCCTGAAAACCCATCTCTTCAGAGAAGCCTACCCCGCCCTCACCTAACTGCTGATCTCCTCCGCTCTCCCCACCAATCCAGCCCCCACAGCTATTTCCTCCTGTACCACTCTCCCCTCCCTCCTAGATTGTAAACTCTAAGGAGCAGGGCCCTCGAACCCGTCGTGTATTTTATTGTATTGTTACTGTACTGTCTCATGTATTGTCTCCCATTGTAATGTACAGCGCTGAGCAAACTGTTGGCGCTATATAAATACTGTGTAATAATAATAATTGCTAATGTCATTTAAGGGAAAAATTATTTATATTGAGCTGCATTCATGGACCAATGCAGTTGTCGAATGACTACATCTTACTTCCTGATTATTTGATATTGGATTGATTATTTGTCAACCATGAAAGTGTTCAGTGGTCTATCCACAGCCCGTTATCAATAGATAACCCTGAAGATTATCTCCCTACCTATGGGTACCTTAAACTATCTCAAAGGATAAGGCATGAAATAAAAATCCTTTTCAAAGGACGTATGTACTCTGTCAGTGCAATCTAGCATCTCTGCATTAAATTATTTTCTCTCTCATTGCTGACTGTCTCTCCTGTTTTCTGGGAGAAACAAGATTTGTAGATGACCAGAAGCAGTGGTAGAGTAGTCACAATAGGACCCCTGTGTGGGTCCAATTTTTGAGTCCCCTACTAGCCAAGTAAAAACATTCATTGTATATTGATCGACAGCTAGATAGAAATGAACCACGTCCCAGTATACATTACTCACAACCAGTATAAATCGACCTCTGTGGCTCAGTAGGCCCTTGTGTAGCTCCAAAGTATGTATAAATGGTATGCCCACCTCTGGCAAGGAGATTAAATGCAAAATGCAAGGGGCTCTTGGAATTAACTAGAGAGCTGGTTTGTCCGCACTTGGCATCATGAGTTTCTAAACCTAATCCCAGATATAACTCCAGCACTAAAGCCAAACTCTTTTAAGACAAAGTGACTTTTTCTTTTTAATGTTCCATTAAAATAGATATATGATCTCAACAGGGAGAATGCTTTTAAGAAATGAAATAATATAATTTTCGCTTCTCTCTAGTAAACGATAAACTGCTTGGCAATTTGTGCACTTAACTGCCCAACAGTTCTTTCTTAGACAGGTTTAATCAGAAACTGATACAGTTACCATTTATTTTAGACAGCTACCCCTGTGTTTAAGGTCATTGCACATTAAGAAAATAATTAATTTGTTTTGTATAGAAAAATGTATGATTTAATTGTATTATTCATTTATATAGCAGTGACATTTTTTTTCAGATCTTTACAGAGATCATTGATCCAATCTCATCAGTCCTTGCCTCTGAAGGAACTAATATCTGCACCAGAGTTTGATAACTTGGCATTCATTTTTTACATATATAGCGCCCTGTGAGCATTGAAGTGAATTCATTATTGTTTTTGCTCAGCATCCTTAACTATTACATTAGTGTTTAATGCATGGTGCATCTGCACAGAGGAAAATATTATTTTGAAGGAGCATTATTAATAAACATTTTATGGAACTGCTCTGATGAAGCGCAGCAATCATCTGCTGAAATATATCTGCCAAACTTTCCTCTGTACAGGACCCAGAAATATGTAACTAAGCAGTAGACAATGGCACAGATTTTCTCCAAAAACCTTTGCCAATTTGGCAATGGATTGTAATTGGAACACATTCACTGCAGTAAAATATGACATTTGAGGTCCTAGAGGAGCTTAATGCGTTATAAGAAGCTTCATGTGGTTATAACTCTCTTTATGTTATAATTTCAGGGTACATTATTATTTATACCTTATTATTTTAGTTTCTAGGTATCTATATTTTTAAATAAGATGATCCACATAAAACTATTACGCTGTTTTATTATTTATTGTTAACTTAGATAGATTGTATACACTTACTGTTTTTTTATTTTATAGATTCAAATATAAATTCTGATATGTACTGGTCTTGATAAAGCGGCTTGGACCATAAAATGCATAGAGCTTATAGGCAACCCTAAACTCCTCCCTCTTTGTATAGTGTTTGCTTAATTTATAACACAGTATATTGTCCTTTTTCAGCTATTTTGACTTACAATTGTAACAAGCTTGTAGAAGCTGGATGCACTTATAATACGATTCAGAATCTTTTCCCCTCCTTTTTTATTGTGTTTTATGTACAATCTTTTTTATTCTGTAAAAATAAAATTATGTATGTTGATATGTGATTGTCATTATTTGGTACCTTTTTAAAAGCAAAAGCCCAGGCGCTTTAGTATTTTGTGATTGTAACTAATAATAGGGTATGGCACCTTTCACACCACCTGAGTTTTGAATTCCATTGATTGTTGTTTTAGATTGGTGCAGGATTGCCCCTTGTCCTAATCTATTGTGTTACAATCATTTTAAACTGCTGGATAATGTTTAAAAGTAAGTTGGGCTCTATTTATAATTTTTGTTGTGTTTTTATACTTTTATTGCAAATGCCTCTAGGGCTTTCACAGCAGGGAAAGGTTCGATAACAACTAAGGTTTGCTAATATATATGTCATTATTATTATTAAACTTTCTGTCAGAGGAAGCTTTGAATAGAAAAATGATGGTAGGTGCAGTAATGTACAGTTAGGGGATTGGAGAGGCCATCTGCTTCCCGACTTGAAAGTCTTATTCCCTACCATGGAAGTTCTACTAGTCATGATGGCAGTGGCATTGCCAGAAAAAAAAAATGGTTTCAGGAAATGTTTGAATGTCTAAGAGATGCTCAGTCACAACGTGTCTGTTTGCATAGAATAAAGCAACAGATGTTTATTATTACCTTTCCAACTAGTATGCTTCAACATCCCAAATGTTTGAGATACCCAAATTCATAATTATCTAAATTATTTGTAGCAAAGATTCCTTTTTGTTTGATTGCATTCACATCCCTAATGGGGAATAGCATGAAATTTAATTACTGTAGAATTCCAAGTTTCATTTTTTTTAATTAAGAAAAATAACAGTACTGTCTTTTTCTTTGTCCCCAATCACTTTTCCAAAATCACGGATGTATGCATATCTGGAATAGCATCAGGGAGCTATGAGTGCAAT